AGCCTAATCGCGCCTCCACTGACACACTGACATTCGGTTGAATTAAACTTTTCTTATGTAACAGTAGAAAATTTCAAGTTGGTATAGAAAGAGAAGGAAAAATCAGTATGTATATAGTGTAAACACACTTGTTCCCCTCTTGTCCGTGAACGGAAATTTGCAAGCTTCGATGATTACTTCTGTGAGAAATTGAGCTATTTGTTGCCGCGATTCTGTATGAAGCTCCTCGTATGGAATCTGAAATTTTGCAAAATAAACGTGGTAGGAAAACAGGTCATGCAGAAGGTCTGTGACAAGACAATCGCAATTCGCCGCACTGTTGGCCGCCGCGTGCGACGTCGCACCTGCTAATGACGATGTTTCTATGACGCAGATGGAAACAATAAACGATGTATTACCATAAATGACTTCAATGTCAAAAGTTATAGGTAATCCGGTGATAGAATGGACAAGCTCATGCAAACTGAGAAAACGCCGTGCGTAGCTGAGCGGCAGATTACGATTGTCTTGACCGTCCTTCTACCTAGAGGGAGGAGGGCAAGCGGCAGGGCGACTGAATCTGTTCGTCTACAAGGTTCTTTGGGGTATTGACCCCCTCCTTCTGCAAGGCTCTGTCATGAAAAGAGCGCAGACGACTAGAGTCGAGCTATTGTTGCCGCGTGCTTGCGCGGCCCTCTTCGAGTAAGTTACTTCTAAGATTCATAAAAAATGGTATTGCCTGATAAGATGGATGAACACCATTTCGACGACAGCATTTGATCCACCATTCCCTGTGAGTATGTAGTCGAGCGATCTCATCGTCGTCGAAGAGCGCCACATAATCGTCAAACACAGAGGACCACATCTGGACGGGTCTAACATACATTGATATATACCTCGATACTTCAATCGGTGTCATTCCAGAAGGATAGGAGCTTTCGGTGCAATAGCTCGTGGGGACTACGGTAGTCCCAATTCTGCACAGTTTTATGCCACAAAACCTTAAGTTTAGGGGTGAAGAAGCTCATATATGCACCAAATTCCCTCACCCATTGGAATAGCGTTCTTGTAATTACTGTAAGTTGTAAGTACCTTCGTCTCATCGATTCCGAGTTTCTGTACAAATTTGGCATGTACAGAACGCACAATCGGGGATACAAGGTCGTATTCGAAAACACCAATTGGGAGTAAGTTCTGCCCGAGGGAACAGACCGCTTTCAACGATTCCATTACCATTTCTGCTATCTCAGCAACTGAGATAACCTTGACGAACAGCCTTACTGAAAAGGAGGCAGAGAATTCAACGGATAAGATTGAAAGTATGAAACTCAAGAAAAAGAAAAGGCAAAGCCTTCTTACATGGATTATGGGGCCGATCATCAAGTAATCGTTCCATCGTCGTGCGGATGTTCTCCAACCAATTCCACGAGTCCAATAAACGTTCGGCAGGCATTTCAGGGTTCTCAAGAAAGGATATTAGCCATGCATAACTTAAAATGTTCACTAGAGGCTTTACCTTTTTCGTAGAACCCGTGTAATTCTCAACGTACAACCATGGTGCTTTCTCGGTGGCAATGTGTTCGGGGAATTTCTTTATATATGTCTCCTAGAATAAAATTGAACAAATTTATGCTTATAATACTGCCAAGAAGATCGTTTCTGAAGGCTCATCGTTGGCACAATCCCAATAAAGGTCGTATGGACGAGACGCTGAGTCGTAAAAATGTTTCCGCTCAACAAGAAATTTTTCTGTTGGTGAGATTTTTCCCGTTTTACATGCATTCAATTCCACCCACCCCCCAAGTGCCCCCTCCCAACCAAAACCACAACCGACATAGAAAGAACAGCCTTCTGAGAACGCACCTTAGGAACATTCTCCAACCGGTACTGGTTACCATGATATGATTGTTCCGGTAACGGTTCCCGTAAATGATCTAGGAGCGTAGCATTCTGAGTAGATTAACCTTTTTTTGCAAAAATCACGGGAATCCAGAAAACTGAATCAAATTTAGTCACCTTGTCGTAAGAAGTATCTTCATGCAACAGCTTCCTTCTGCCACTGTCCGCATCAAGTTCGACTAGAAGATGTAACAATTGGTCTCGTTCCGAACTGGTCAGGAAAAGGCGAGAATCTTCGAGAGATATGGACTTTACCTGAGAAAAGCGAATGAAACAAATGAAAAAATGGAATAAAAAGTTATACACTCACCAATTTTCTCAATCTTTTCTCCATGTTCGTCAAAATTTCGTCAATTTCGTCAGATGACTCGTCAGGGGCTCGTAGCTGAGACCAACGATCGAACGTGTTGTACAGAAGAACCGACGATAATCGCATATCGTTGCCATAGAAAGCCATATAATCCCAGAGATTGGCTGAAGAGATCGGCCTGCTGTCTCCTCTACATATTAGCGAATCGAGTGCAGTAGCTGAAGGGGGGGGGGACTGTGAGGAGCCGTGGCGTACCGACGACACGAAACCGACGGTTTTATTTGAGGAGGAAGAACAGACCAAAAAGATACCTGTGCCCTTTCCAAGGCTGAAACTATGTAGGAGAAAGGCTTCTTCGCCACGTCTCGACATGACCCCCCCCCCAACATCAGCAGCGTTGGAAGAATCGGAAACGCAATAACTCTGGGAACTTACCAAAGGAGAAGAACGTTGACAACATATCTGGAGCATTTACCTTCTGCTCATCTTTCATAGCATGTTCTTCAAGATATGTGAAAGCGAATGATATCAAACTACATAACCGATCACTATTCGCCAAATTTAGATAACAGAAATGGTCCCAGGCTAATTTTCAAAGACACAGAAAATTACTTTTTCACAATGGAAAATTCTCTGCATTTACAGCAGGGCAGTAAAATATGATTGAAGGCAATAGTTCATACTTTGCGACTTTACTACGAAACAAATGCACGAAACGAAAACCGTGAAACTGTGATAAACCGCACTCTGCTGCTAATCGCTGGAACACTTCCACTCCAAATCTAATTATTCTCAGAAGAAAACCTTTTTCGACCGTTGCAGCGGGCCAAAAATCACCGATATGCGTGGCTGAACACAGCCCCGCCATAGAATCGCTTGGGTCGCAAAGTATGAACGCGGTCTAGCATAAGGAATATCCTCGACAGGGAGAAATAAGAATCAAGCGTATGTGCTCAACGTCAACATATCTACTATAATAAAGTGACCCCAGGCTCTCTTCCGCTGCCCCCAATCTCTCCAATTTCTGCCTTGCTCCTCAATATTCTTAAAGAAATTCTAGCACAAATTAGTTTTGACATGGTAGCCTCTTAAAGAAAAAGAATGTGCTTGTTGCCTGCCATACCTGATCATCTTCTTCAGTCAGTCTGCCTCTGTTACTGATATATCGTGCCCTCTGATATACAACAGAAATCACAGATGGTAGGTCTTCCGCAATTGCGTACCTGAAAAAAAACTAATATATTCCGCGTCGCAGGCTTCTGTCAGTCTGTCAGCATCTCATCTCTTATCTTTGTTGCTGTGAGGCTCTAGAAGCATGTTCTCATCGCACCTTGTGGAAAATTTGGAGGAAGGAAAATAAGGAAGAGAAATTAAGGAAGGAAAAAGTCGATAGATATCTTGAGGCTATCTTCCGAGCTATCAGCTGGAGGAATATCCATGAAAACTGAGAGTGCTAGATCAATTACTAGCGGCCCAACCCTAGAGAGAGAGAGAGAGAGGAGAGAGAGAGAGAGAGAGAGTTTACACCTTTCGAAAAGTTTCCAGCAAGAGTCAAATATAGTGTAGTTCGCTGCGGACTGGTTGGGCGTGTCAGGCAGGATGAGTTTGGCGCGGTGCCAAACCCGTTCTCCACCAGTTGTTAAAGTGATATGACTGTATCATATCGTTCGTATTACTCGTTTTCTACCACTTTTTGTCGCATGCGCGCTTCAACAAGAAGGCAGAGAACGGCTTTGACGGCGTGACACACTCATACTGCCTGACACGCCCAACCGTCCGCACAGAACTGGAGTGCAGTACTAAATGGAAGCTTGTTCGGCTTGGGAGGGGCATTTGCTTTTCTACTA